TTTGGTTGCCTCATAGTTCTGTTTATCGCTAATTTTGCATGGCTAAACAACGGAGAACTGTAGAAGTAGATAATATTTTAGGGTATTGTGCTGTAGAGTCAAGGCTTATTTTTGCTTTTGCTCAAGTTTGGCATAGGGGAATCACTCCTGAGTGTTAGGGCTTCATTACCGTTTGGAACATTAGCCTCCGAGGTACTAAGCTGTGCTGCATTTTACAGCGGTGGACAATGGGTCAACGTAAGTATTTCGGAAGGTAACCGTAACATTCATTGCAATGTCGTTCTTGGAAGAAATTGGCCTGGCCTGATGATATTTTATTCGCACTCCGGTCTTCATGGTCTTGATACTATCGGTGTAATGGACTAGTAACCCATAAAATAGTTTCGAAATAGATTGTATAGTCTTTGGTACCCTTTGCGGGTCTGTTTGTATCCCAGCAGTTGTGATACTTGAAACTAATGCCCTGAACTAAGGGATAAACTGCTAGTGAGCGGCATCTCTATGGTTAAACTTCCAATCTCGGCCTACAGTCGTCATCACTGCATACAAAGATTGGAAATTAGCAAGATTGATATGAATGAGATGTGTCATTCCCTTCTTGACAGCATGGCCGGGGTGACACTTGCAGATCTGTCATAAATGGGGTTTTCATTTCAATGCTGTTTATGTAGCTACATGGTATTTGGCGGTTGCTCTAGTATTCGTTTTGCCCTTGTACGCGTGAGCTGACCTTTGAACCATGCGAAGACTACATCTTCATCTCCCCTTAGAGTGCATGTATTATGCCCAAAATGATGCTGATGATGATATTCATATTGGAATTCTCCCTACTAACTTCGAGTATAGGTGTCCAAGATGGTACAGCGGGACTGTGTTTTCTCCCGTATTTCTCGTTAAACATCTGTTTTAGACCAGTGTTCCAATGTAATCGTGGATACCATTGGTGAGTAACAGAATTTTCATGTCACAATTTCCGCCCTCTGGTCAAACGCCGTCCTAGGTCCGGTTGAGGTTGCTGAGATGACCATGCATCGTGCCCAATTGGGTCG